GGGAGCCATTCTCCATATCCAAAGCCAGTTTCTATGGCCTGACAAATGAGAAGATTTGAGAAATGAAGCGCACAGTGATTAGACATTCTGTTTGTAATAACAACAACAATGTCATATGATATACCTAAGCTGTAGAAATAGGGACGGCACCAGGATGGTCGACGAAGAACTGCTTATCATCTCGTAGATCTGGGAAAACAATCACAACACAAGACCACTCAATGCAACCAAAAGAACGGCCGACAATAGTATGATCTGCTGCTGGTTTTAGTTTAGCTAAAAGGGTTTCTCTCAGAAAGACAGACCTAGCTTTGATCCAACGAGAATGATGGGGACTCCGGGAGCGTAATGTGTCAGCTCCGGAATCCACTGGGGAAAAGAATTGTTCGATCATCAACAGATGTTACCGACGAAACGAAAAACGTATAAAAAAAAGGGATTGAGAGTTCGGCCAGCCACCTTCTTGGATACGTTTTCATAGCTGGCTTTGCTAATGAGAGAGAATGCCAATATGAATACGTCTGCCCCACGGTAACTCAGCGGTCTTAATCTGTTGTAATCTTCTTGCCCTGTTTCACCCCATCATAGTACACACACCAAAAATCTGTTATTTGATAATAAAAAAGATCTGAAAGAACATGATAGAGAAAATATTACCTGCAGTGTCCCATAATCCCAGATTGACGGTGGCTCCATTTACGACAACATTTGCGCTGAAATTATCGAAAACCGTTGGCACGTAATCCTGTGGCAAAACAACGAGGAACGGTTGAATGGTTTAAAAACTGCCATTTTCAAGGGCAGAAAGAGATATATGAACTTCTGATCTTTTTTGGGTGCACGGAGTTATTAGGAAAATCAATTGATAAACATGACTTTGCAGTACAAATTTCAAGTTTGACGGAAAAAAAAAAAGAGATTCTCGATGGCATAGCATCATTCAGAAGATGAACGAAGATGGGTCGTTTATCTAAGACGAAACAAAAGCTGAAGGAACACAATATGCAGAGGTTGAGGAAAGGGATGGAGAAGGATACGGTGGGGAAAGTGTTGCTGGTGTAAGAAATCAGAAGGCAGGTTTTCCCGACAGCTCCATCGCCGACCGTCACGCACTTGATGAACCTCGAAGCGCTCATATTTTTCCCCCAGAATAATCAGGGAAAGCCAAAAATCGCCAAAAAGATTTGGTTAAAGCCTTCAGATCTCAACGAGTCTGAGGACCTTCCTGATGACCTAAATGTCGAAATTCCTCCACAGCTTCTTCTTTGTGATGATCTGAGGTTCTGCTCCTGGGACCTCAATCGGCCATCTGGGTGTAACGGGGAAGACACAGCGGATGGCGAAGGAGAGAGCTTTCTCTCAGGAAATAGAAACCCTAGAACGCAATTTCACAAGAGAATTGGAAGGGACAGAGAGAGAGAGAGAGACATAGAGACCAGAGTTAGTTAGTTTGGCCGGGAAACAATGCCGTTGAAGCGTTCAGTGAGCCAATCGTTCTTCGCCAACCAATCTTCTCCGCTTCTTTTGGGGTTTGCCCTTTTAATAGGTTCCTCATTCATTCCCCATTACCAAACCAAAAATCAAATACCCAAATCTTTATTTGCCTCCTCCATTTCTTTCGAATTTATGCCATCGGTTCAGTTCGATTTTATAAAAATATGTATCAATCGGTTATTATACTATATTCGATTCGATTCCGATCCAATTCGAAAAAATACCATATTTTGTGGCTCGGTTCCGAAAAATTGTAACGCAACCTCCATCTCTAATTCTAATTATTGTTTACCTCAAAGAATATGTGTCGAGTGTAAAGTTTCTTGAATATATATATCTTGCGATTGTTAATATGTCATTTTTTTGGGGGTCTATCGTTATGCACACAAACACACTGATAAAACAGTCTTATGTCTGAAAAATGATCAACGACAAGAGATTTTGCAAACTATATATGCGTATGGATTCACGATTGGATAAGGAAAACAGGAAGAAAACGGGCTATGTATTCAATGAATACAATAAACACAATGGACACTGATATATGTTGAAGACGGTGATCTCTTCTTATTAGCTCATAAAAAATTACACCACCGGAAAAAAAAAAATACATTGCACACACACAGAAACACCGAGCAAGGAAATCTATCATATCAATCGCAAAACATTTGGAGAACCCTAACAAAAGATTGGGGAAAGCTCACGACTTGTTGCAGAATGCACGGAGCGTGTCGTCCAATGCCTTGCGCTCATAATCGCCGGTGAAAACGCAGTTTCCGAGAGGGCCCTCGAGAAGGATCAACCTCAACACTCCGTCCGCAACTTTCTTGTCCACCTGCAGAGACCGACCAGCATCCGTGAGAAAAAAATGGATATTCCGGAGAAAGAAAAAAAGATCGGAACTCTTTATTCGAGCCGACTCACAGCCATGATGGATTTGAACATGTCCACGGTCATTGTCTCGGGCGGTGCTGTGGGCAACTTTGCTCGTGTTAAGATGTTGTTCACTCTCTCGACGATTGAGCTGTCGATCCAACCAAGACGATATGACATGTCAACTGCCATTACCTAAGTTCAAACAACATAGTGACACTTATAGCTCAGTTGAATGTGGTTTCAGAGATGAAAGGGATAAGAGATATTTTACAAAAGGGCAAGAAGTACCGTGCCAGCCGCAACAGCTTCCCCATGGAGCCATTCTCCATATCCAAAGCCAGTTTCTATGGCCTGACAAATGAGAAGATTTGAGAAATGAAGCGCACAGTGATTAGACATGAATAGAAAGACCTCACACTTTCCAGAATTAAAGTGCAACCCGGTGCACAAAGCATCCCGTTGAGCGGGATACGGGAAAGGATCCCACCACAAGGGTGTATTGTAGGCAAACCTTACCTTGCAGAATATTCTGCAAGAGGCTGCTTCCAGGACTCGAACCCATGACCTCTAGGCCACAACGGCAATACCTTAACCGGTGCACCAAGGTTCCCCTTCTCGGGTTACGGAATTAATGTGCAAGGTATGAAAACATAAACCTTTTGACATGCTGTAGTGAGTACTAAGATCCAAACTTAGTTTTGGATGTTAAATTTCTTCAAGATTCTATATTCCATCCCAACCAGGTTGGGTTCCTCCAGTTGGGTAAAAGAAAAAAAGGGTAATAATGCGAAATACTCACATGGCCAAATGTATGACCCAAATTTAGTGTTGCTCGCAATCCGCTTTCCTTCTCATCCAGTGATACAACCTCAGCCTTATTTTCACATGACCGCTTTATAGCGTAAGCTAATGCAGCTGGATCCCTGGGACGATACAATGCAAAATTACTAGACCACACTTGCAGAGCCAGAAATAAGACATCAACGCTTGGACAAAGTGAAACTAATATGGCACACCTTGCCAACAATGCCTCCATGTTCCTTTCCTGCCATTCAAAGAACTCGGCATCCCTGATCAGTCCGTATTTGATCACTTCAGCTACACCTGATGCCAATTCCCTGTCTGGCAACGTGTTCAGTGTGTCTGTGTCTACCAGCACACACTGTGGCTGGTAGAATGCACCAATCATATTCTTTCCAAGAGGGTGATTTATTCCGGTTTTGCCGCCAACAGAAGAATCAACCTGCAGAGAAAGGAGATCAAGTTCAAGCCGAAGATAACAGTAGCATTTACGACGCATATAATTTGAGCACAAGAAAGCAAGAATTGGAAGCGAGATGAAATGAACTTTGTACCTGTGCCATCACAGTGGTCGGGATTTGGATAAAATTAACACCCCGTAGATAAGAGGCAGCCGCAAATCCACACATATCGCCAATCACACCACCTCCAAGCGCAACAAATGTACAGCGCCTATCTAGACGAGACTCAATCGCCTTGTCAAAGATTTTCATAAGAGTATCCTGTATAAAATGCATCCAGGGTATTTTAAAAATCACACTTGAAGCAGCAGCAACTCAAAACCCAATATGACAAGTACCATGTCTTTGTATTTCTCCCCATCAGGTAAGATCACGCTCTCGACCGAGATGCCCGGGTTTCCTCTTGTTAAAGCATCTACTGTCTTGTCCAGGTAAAGAGGGGCAACTTTTTCATTGGTGACCACAAGAACTCGCTTCCCACGAACATGCCTATTCATTCGAATCAATTCAACATTCTGTAAGAACAAACCCTATGTGCGCCATCTGTCTCAGCTTCAATCGAAACAGGGACAATTTAACGAACAAAGACAATTGGCTCTAAGCTCAACGAGAATCTCAAACGAATATCAGCGACGATTTGATTCGATAGGTTACAAAATCAATTCTATCACATAACATGTTCCGATTAAATGTGCCAGCACATTTGACACTCGAGAAAATGATGATGATACGGAGTAGGCTAAAGAGACTACCTTTGAAGAATCTCGGGTCGATCGAGCAACCCAGACCCGATATATATCGGATAACTCCGGTTACCCAAATCAACCTCGACGATTGTAGGAGAAGCCGTAGGAGTCTTCTCGCTAAGCGATTCGTCCATCACCTGAGTCGCACTGGCTCGCACCCACATCCTTGTAGGACTCGCCGAAGAAAAAGATAAACTAACCCGTTTACACTTGGAAAAAGAAGACACAGGAACAAGAATGCTCCGAGGAGCAATCAAGCCACGGCTGTCAAAAGAGCCCGGCTTCTTGGAGGAGACGGAGAGCGAAAGGGAGTTGGCGGTGGCGGACGCCATGGAATTCAACCCGTAGCCGAAGTCGGGTTCGAGCGAGAGAGAGAAGAACAAGAGAGATTGGGTGGGAGTAGGTGAAGGTAAAAACCCATCGCGGTTTGGTGAAGATGAAGGAGCCGGCGTGGGTAGGTGAGACAGGGGGATTGGTGGATGATGCGTAATCGTCTACGGTAAGCCGTACGGAATGGTTGCTTTTATGACCGTAGGATCTTATGTAACGCCGTATAATTAATTTCGACGGTGGAAAATTAAAGTTAGAATTGGCTCAATTCGCTGGAACATGGCCACGTAGACAAAAACAAGGTGGTCTGAAATGAATTAGGAACATATTGTTAGTACATATAACGTAGCATAATACCATTCAGAAGGCGTTATTGTCTATCTTTTGAAGTGGTGGAGGTTGTAGACAGACTCAAAAGCTTGCATGGACACGCTTGAAAACCCGATCATTGCTTGTAACAAATGTGGAAACCCCATCTTCAAGTTACTTACTGTCATGTCCCTCGTCACCTTCACCGCCTGCTCGTACTTGTTCTTCTCCTCTTCCGCTTTTCCTTTCAACCTCTCGACCTTTCCTCTCTTTTCCCCCAATCCGTCCGAAGAGAAAGGCCCGTACTTGCTCCCATGTTCCTTCAGTTCAGCCGCTTTCTTCTCGAAATCCTTTAACACTGATTCTGATCTCTTCTTCTGCTTGTGTTCTTCGGCTTGTTGAACCACAATTCCATGAACTGCAGCCATAAAGCTCTTGATCCCTTCAACTGCTACTTTATCCGGGACTCTGTCAGCAGCCAATTGCCATTCTTCGCAAAAGCTGTAAATCTTTGATTCGCTGCTGCCTCTAGCGAGTGGATTCTTGCTGAACTGAAATAGGCTTAATCTGAGCCAACCTGTCAGAGACTGGATGTAGTCGCGCTGGGCCTTGACCAAGTTGCAGAATGACTGGTGCCATCGTTGGATCTCGAGCTCCAGCCGAAGAGTTGATTGGCGGTGAAGCTCGGATGTGGGTTCAGTGGATGGGACAGTGTTAAGGTACTTGAGTTGCTGAACTATGTGGCTTTGGACCTGGTGGCTCTCGTACATGCTCCTCCACATACCCATTAACCTACGTACCAATTTTAACACAACATTACTAAACCTTAACTCGTAACTGTTATAGACAGGCAAACCCACAAAGCAATAACAGAGGCAGACAACTGACCCTTTGACAAGGTGGACCAGCTGAGGGTACAGCTCGGTTTCTCGGAGATTGGTGATAGCGGCAGAGGCGCTCTCGATGGCCTGAGAAGCGACCGTCAGCCGTGACTCTAACTTCTCCACGTCTTTCTTGGCCTTCTCCGTCTTCACATACTCAGCTCTCTTCATCTCCAGCTTCCTCGCATTCTCCACCTTCTTCTCGTGCTCCATCTTGATTCTCTCTGCGTTCTGCACCAACCAACACTGTTTTCATCGCTGGCAATCAATATAAATGTCAGACACACGTGGGTCTGTCTGATCATCTTCACAGCAGTGTTGGGTCCACAAGCTGATTTCAGAGGGTACATGGGAAAGTTTGAAACTTCAATTCAAACACTATGACTAAGACTCACATACATAACAGAGCGTTAAGACAGCAAATTTCAAACCTGGACTTCCGAAGATTCTTCTTGGCAAAGAAATGCAAACATCCAAACATTGGAAATTTTAAACCTGAGTCGGAAAGATCCTTCTTGTGAAGTGGAAAAAGAAGAAAAAGTGAATACCTTGACTTCTTGAAACAGCTTCTTCTCCCAAGCATAGAGCCTCTCCACGGTAGAGGAATGGCTCCCATATCCTCCGACCGCCTCTCCTCCTGGGTTTCTATATTCGTTCAACGTTGTACTAAAACCTCTTGTCCAAAACGACCTCGGATTCAGATTGCACTCGTAGCTACTGTACAGTTTCCCTGTAGAAAGTTAACAAATTACTCCCGACCCATAACACGAAAGGCGAACAGGAACGAAGAGGAAACATGTAAAGTACCTCCTTTGTTATGAGCAGAAAATGCAGTGGCGGTGTTGATACAACTTGGAATTTCAAGGAGGCAAGAGAGCTGGGCACCAGAATCTGCAGCCTTCGCGAAATATTCATCTACTTCCTTGATAATCTGCATCAGATCCTTACTGTTCCTCGAGACAACCATTGCCAACTCGCTTCCCGAGGCGGTGCCGGTCGTGACGGTGTCCTTGGAGAACTCACTCACCACCGATGACGGTGGAGGAGTAGCGGTCGCCGGATCCGTACTGACGGTGGCTGTTGCGGTGGCCGTACCCTCCTCCCACTCCTCCTCCGACGAAGAAGGGGGCGGCGGCACAAAGGGGTCCCAGAAGTCCCATGCGGAGGACGGAGGAGGAGGCGGCGGAGGAGGAGGAGGAAGAGCAGAGGAAGTGGTGGTGGAGGTCCATGTGGTGTCGGAGCCAGGACTCAGAGGAGGCCGACGCGGCGGAGGCGGAGGCGGAGGAGGCGGAGGGTGGAGGTGGATATGGAGAGAGGTCTCTTTGGCGGAGAACTGGAGAAGGGCGGCGCCGGTGGCGCGTAGAGAACGGAGATAGAGCGCGTGGGAAGCAGAGAGAGCTTGTCTGGCCCTCACCAACTGCTTCAAGTACCTCTTCCTCGCCTTGCAACGCGACACTATCTCCTGTCTCTCTGTTCTTGAGTAACAGCTACCCATTTCCTCTCGACGCAAGTGCGAAATCAGAAAATGAAGAACACAAAAACTATATAATGTTTCTCCCAGATGGGGCTCTCTCAAGATTCCGACATACCCATTTTTTTCACCATGCAGAAGCTCTTGTCTCTTTTTTTCCTTTCCTCCACGATTCTGCACTGAGTGCGGCTGATTAATCCCATTCAACCTTTCTACTCTCCTTCTTCTTCTCCCTGTAAACCTTCAAAGGTGTAGACTTTGTTTGTACTTCTTTGGTCCTTCTTATTCTTCTTCCAAAAACTACTTCGGTAGTTGATGATCTCACACGCTGGCCGGCAGATCTTGTTCACCTTGCAAGAAAATCCTCAAAGTTGCTCGCTTCGTTTGTATCAAAAGAAAATAAAGTTGTCAACTTTTGCCCTGAACCTTGCACGATGGACAGCAGCAAAAGAGGAGAGAGGGATATATTTGGTTAGGTCTTTTAGGATATTCAAAATGTATTTTAAGAGTTGCTTTGGCTTTTGGCTTTAGAGGCTGTTCGGCTAACTTCAGAATGTATTTGGAAGACGACAGACACCATAGGCTTTGGGCAGAGAGCCGCGCCTCAAAAAGGGCAATTTCTTAATGTTTTCCTAAGCCAAATGACCAAAATGACCTTTAAAAAGTTTTGTGATGTTTTTCTTAATGTTGGGCCACAACTCAATGTTTGTTTTTTTAAGAACCCACAGCCTTATAGTCAAACCATAAGAAAGTAGATTCTGGTTTATGGAAATTTTCGGACTAACAAAAAACTGAATACACAACTGAGATAATGTGATTCTTAAGACAATGTGTAGGAAGTACAAAGTCAAATAGTTGTAATTTGACTTGAGTTTTGGACCCATGCATTTTTTTTGGTAAATGGTGATTGCATTTATATGTAGGCCAGGTTTTTCTTTTTACCATTTTTCAAAAATTATCTTTAGATTATTTCAACCAAAGATAGCAAGTGTTCCCCAAAGATAAAAGACTTTTTTTTTTTATTAATTTTATAACAAGAAGTGCAGTTGAAGGAGAACAAGTTCATCCCCTTTATCAAATTCAGCTTAAAAAAATAATAATGATTAGTAAGAGCTTGGGTTAAATTAGAATAAGTGATTAGGCTCTTGGGCTGAGAGACAAGGTAATGTCCTGGAAAACCTTGAGCCTCTTCTCCACTTTCCTCTGCGCCAACAATGCCTCGCTGTTCTTCGTCTCTGTCCCCAAGACCGCCGCCAAAATTGCCTCTTCGAAGTCTTTGTTATCCGGCAGAAGCGAATCTCCGCCCGCTGTCCTCTCCAGTGACAGCCTCCTCCTTGTATTGGTCTCATGTTTTACCGCCGCCGCCGTTCTCATAGGGTCGCTCGCTGCGTTTCCTGATCTCGTTCTTTTCAGAGTTTCATGGATTGGATCCTTCCCGGGTTGATGATCTCTCATGAACTTTGAAGAGAAAAACGGCTGCGCGTCCACGTTCAGGTTCATATTTCTGTGCAGGGGAGGGAATCCCATCATATTGGCGTCCACGTTCTCGTCTGGGTAGCCATCGTTGATGGTGGCCGCCAAAGGATGAGACTGCCAAACGGAAGAAGAACCGAAAAAGGTGTCGAATTGCTTCGCAGTTCTATGTAAAGGAGGAGGCTTTCCCAAAGCCAACTTCCCCATCACGTTCTCATCATCATCATCGCTTCTTTTCGGTTGAGGCTGACAAAGGGAGGAAGAAGACGCCTTGAAAACCGCTGCTTGCTTCACAGTTCTGTGCAAAGGAGGAGGATGCATACATGAACCGGAGGAGTTTCCTCCAGCCACAACATTAGGGTTTGCATTTTCTTCAACTCCATTGGCAGTTGCTGGTGCTGCGCCATGATCTCTGCAGGGCTGAGGCTGCCAAATAGAGGAAGACCCAAAAAAGGCATTGAAAAGCTTGCTCTGCTCGACCTTATCATCGCCACCTCTGTTCATCATCTCGGATTCGAGGTCCTTGAGCATTTGTTGAGCTCTTTCATAAGCCTTGAGGTGTGAATCCACACCTCGAGGACCGTCCGCAACTGCTGGCTTCACCCGCCGCAGAGTCTCTTTGGCCTCACCGATTCTGCCTTGTTTCATAAGGCAGATCCCCAGGTTGCACATCTTGTTGTTGTCTGGTGTAATCGACAGTGCCCTTCTGTATGCATCTTCCGCTTCTACGTAGTTATCCTTCTGCATCAGCGCCCACCCCAAGTTCCCCTGTCAGAATTGACAACACATCTGAGTTACAGTTACACAAAAACATGTATTATACTATACGCTCATACACATCTGTTGTTGAAACATCTTCAGATCTGTTATTGTGCTCATCTGCTAAAGTTGTATAATTGAAACATGTATCAATAATAATAACAAAACCGGTCGAGTTTTGAAACACACATACATCTGCTTATGTTGTTACTGAAACATATTTTGATCTTTCGATGTTGTTTATTCATGTATTAGTCTTGTTTCTCCTAAACTCACTTCCACATGGAGAGATTTAGATGCACCTATGAAACAGAAACTTCAGCACATTATGGACTGAGAATAACAGCTTCCGAAATTGCACATCCATCTGTTTTATTTCTATTTTGATCTAATTGACAATCTGGATTAATATGAGCACGAGTGATTCTTACCAGTAGCCGGGTCGCCTCTTGTTCTACTGACACCTGAAATTTTTTGCCTTGAGATCTGGCGGTTTTGGTGCGTTTACCATTAAATGCCAAACCTTGTTGGATTAAGAACAATTTGTGTTTCAGAAGTGCAATCTGATCATCTAATCTGCCACATCTCTGCAGAACAATCAAAAACATCTCAGCATGTAGCAATTGCAAACAAAAACGAGAGAGGACCAACATAGAAACAGAAAACAAAAACGAGAGAGTTATCAAGGAGGATGTTATCAAGGAAACTTGGTTTTTTTAAGAACCTTGTAGAGATCTAGGAGGATGTTATCAAGGGATTCCTGGGCTTGATCCGAACAACGGCTTCTCAGGGATTTGATGGCTTCAATGGCTTCTTCAGCCCGATTTTGTTGCTTCATCACAATAGCCATGTCTTTCAGAGCACTGTCCACTCTGTCTCCGGCGTTAATGGCTGCCCAGAACAGCGGAATTGCCCTTTCCGGATCCTTCTCCACCAACTGACCAAAGTAAAAGCAATCAAAGAGTACACCCCATTAGACAACATTCGACAGAACAACATTCGATGGATCCAAGGAGTTCAGAAGTTTTTGGGTACCTGAACATTCTTGGCTCTGACATAAGGAGTATCGCCAACAGGGACTTTATGGAGAGCACCGAAGGATTCAGACCGAGTCCTGGATACACCAAGTGGCTTCGCCGGAGAACTCGGGGCGGATTTCGTTGGCCTGAATCCGGGAGGAGCATTCCACGCATCTTTCATCATCTTCGGGATATGGGTGTTACGATTCTGTTCAGATGTGTGGAGAAGGAGAAGAAGGAGGAGGAGGGGAAATGACGGAGGAGAGTGGAGGAAACAGATGGGGTTTTAGAGAGAACGCTTGGAGAGAGGATACTAAAATAAAAAGTTTCAAAAATTTATGACCGTTGGGGTTACCGTTTAGAAACTAGCCGTTGGAATGCATTTTCCAGTTATTGCTCTATATTTCTACGATATAGGGTGAGATATTCCTCATCTACCCCTCAATTTGTTTGCATTTCAGTTTTCGGCCCCTCATTTTACTGATGACGATAAGTTCACCCCGAAAGGAAAAAAAAAAACATTAGAAACTACGAGGGAAAGTTAAATATTATTTTTTATGCATCGAAGTCCCTATTCTTTTGGTGAGCAATTTAGAATCCAAATTTTTTATAAAAAAAAAAACAATCAGCGTTTACTCTTTCAACGTTTGGCGATTCATTTCCAAAAGAATCACACTTCGAATTTGAAAAGCGAAGAAAATAATTGAACTAGCCAAGAGATCTAGGTCAAGCTCAAACACAATTCGAAGCGGCCCAGTAGGAACAAAATTCGACCTAGAATCCTGGAGCTTAGGGGTGGGGTTCTTCTCGACGGCGAGAACGATAGCGTCGGAGCCGCGAACTCCGACGGCGGCGTTACCCTTACGGACGGCTTCCAGGGCGCACAACTCCTGGAAGAGGTGGCCGTCACGGGAGAACACGGTGATCGCTCGATCGTACCTCGCCATCTTTTGCTTTTCTCCCTTCTCTTCATCTCCACCTTCCTCCTTCGATTTGTTGTTTACACTGAAGAAAGAAGCGCATACGTCATGCGATTGGAACTTGGAGAAGAAGCCTCCGTCTGGTAGAGAGGGTTTCATGTTGAACTTGTCTGACTTCGGCCGAGGAACTAAATGGGCTTAAATGAACCCATATTAGTTAATTTTCAACAACAGTACACATTTGGACATATTATAACATCATGATCTATAATTCGTATGTCTGATTTCGGAGATATTCTTAAGGTTTTCATAATCAGATTCAAACCAGCTTTAAGGTTTAATAAAAATAAAAATGTCAAACTGCTCACACAACATAATGTCATTTATACCCCTAGAGATTTAGATTGGAAGAGAGAGCAACACGATACACATACACATAAAGCAAATGCAACAGAGCTCCCAGACCTGCCCAAAAATAGAAAGTCTTATTTTAGTTCCTCGGTATATAAACAGAATGAACAGAGATGGACTGTTTTTCTTTTGGTCACTAAGCTTTCTCTAAATAGCCAAGGAATAGAATAATCATATGATCCAGCTATCGGGGAACTACAGTACCTGCAATGGCGACATCAGTGTTTTCATTTTTTCTCCTCCTTTGGTCCCTTTTCCTCCCCCTTGTCTTGCTTCTACAGAGGCGCATACAACAGAACAAACAAACACGTTTAGCCCTAAATTCCGGTGGCAGAAATGCCGACATCTAGAACCAACTCAGCTTATCAGCTCTAGTCATTATCACCTCTGACTGCTGGTTTTGCATTGAGGCCAGCAAATCCTTTACAGAAGGGTCGTTTGGATCAACCCCAGGAAGCTGCATAAACAACCACACGACCCATTTATATAAACAAGTAAAAGTTTCCATCTTCTCAACCCAGAAGCCAAGAAAAACAATGTATACCGATGCAAGGATGGAGGACACAAATGACTGATCTGCCAGTAGTTTGCCCATATCGGACGACTGGCCTGATGAATCTTTTGCACTATCTTGCACTGACAACTGCAGAGCTGCAACCGGGTAGAGTGTGGAGCTTAAATATGGATAAACGAGAAAGACATATCACGAGGAAATAGAACAAGAACTCCAAGATCTTTGCCAAAAAATGTTGTGACTCACCTAGTGCTAACTCGGGATCATCTATAGCAACATCAGACATATCTGTGTCTTGTGCGTCGTGACCAGAAGGATGCTCATCCATGGACATTTGAAGGGCCTGTTGCAGCACAGCGTTTTCTTCGTCCTGCCACAGATAGAGTGTAGTATCAGTTGAGGTCAATGGAAGAGTAACTTCATCAATTTGATCCGGCTCTTATGAAATCAAAACCTTTATAAGAATTCCTAGTTCAGATTTGAACCCCAAAATCATAAAATACATCATGAAGGGCAGTCATTAGAAGAACGGAATTGTTTCAGCCATAATCTTAGGGGTAGACCTTCCAGTACTACAAAAAGACAAGAAGAAACTAACCGTTAAATCAGTTTTCTTAGTGCTAGCTTGAGAAGTGGAATCGGTCATAGTTGCATCCTGTGAGCTTGATTGTTCCTGCTTACCAGCCTCCTCGGCGGCCTTCTTAGCAGCTGCTTCTTGCCTAGCTCTCTCCTCCTCCATCGAAACTCTCAGCGCAAGGGCAAGTTCAGGGTCAAGGTTTGGATCCACACCGAACTCAAACCCAGATACACCTCCAGCTGCTGCTGCAGCAGCAGCAGCTGCAAAACCACTCCCGCCCTCATCCCCAGTGAAGATTGGCGTGCTAACAAAGGAGAAAGGAGATCCCATAAACCAAAACAGATATTTCAACCATTCCAGCCACATAGATCAAGATGAGGGAAAACATATAAAGATTTTACCTGATGAGCACATCCGAGAGAGCATCGGAACCAGGAGGAATATGTACAATGTGGCTAGTATCATTATTATCAACGGCAGCACGAAGTGCCTCAAGCTTTTCCGTCTTTCCTTCATCATCTTCACCAAAGTTAACAATATCAAGGGCAACACTATTCTTCTTCAATTTTCTTCCAATCACCTCTAGTTGTTTTTTGTCGTGTTTGACAGGGCTGCTAGACCAAGAAAGTTAGGGGAAAGATGTGTTGCAAGAGGATTCCCATAGCAACAAAAGAAATAGTGACACAGAAACTAACCTCCCCACAAAGACAATAATCCTTTGCTGCTGTTTTTTGTTTTGCCGGTGCTTAAGAGCTAGCTGGGCCACCTGGATCGCAGCTGCAAGGTTCGCCTCCCCACCTATTTCTAGACCTATGTTCAGGAGGAACCAGAATATCAAAGATCCTTTGAAGAGTTTTGGTCAAAGAATTCAAAGAGAAGTCCTCATAATTTCTCTAGAAGATAAGGATTAGAGACCTCCATTTTCAAATAAGGAACAATACTGTTTTCGGTTTTCACCGAACCTCCGTTCAGACTATAAGTTCATGAGTGCACAAACAAATAGTACAAACATTCCTAATCAATGTAATTAATCATGGGAAGGGTGCAACAGTTCTCCTCAAAGATCAGATAATTTAGGCCTCAGCAGTCAGCAAGCAAATAAGATAGCTAAAACATAGACGTATGAACCAGAAAAAGAGAAGAAAAGAAACAAACCATGCATGCACGCTAGGATCTTTCCAAGATCACTGGTTGGTGTAACCAAAACACGAACCCCCTTCCCGGCCATCGTTAGAATTCCGACCGTATTTTCTGGATTTGACTGTAAAAAGAAAACTTACAACCATCAGTCCAAACTTCAATAACCAGAACACACTGATGACATCCAAGGCACTAGAAAATCTTGAAGATGCTAACTATTTACACTTCAAACACGTAAATAAGAATGAACAACATCCAAAGACTCATGTAATAAGAATCCCGAATTGGAGTTTCGTAAGTAAAACCCAGCTCAAAGGTTGTTAAGATCTTCATTCCTACGCGGTATCGGAGACTAAACACTAAAATACCCACAATAAGCAGGCCGAATTAGATTAGGAAACAATGACGAGCCTGGGTTTTAGCTCCAGAAATGAAATTAACAGCGTCGGCTTGAGCCTGGAATCTCGACGGAGCATAATCCCCATTCCGCATCCACTCGGAATTATCGATACAAATCATCGTCGCCTGAAAAATAAATCCCAGATCAACGGATCAAACAAGCACATCCAGAGACCAAGAAATAGAGAAAAAGAAACCCTAATCCGAGATTAAGAGAGACTTGGGCAACCTACCTCGAGAACCATGATGGAAAGTGAAAGGAGTTGTTCTTCCAGGGAAGGATGAGAAGATACGGGGAAGGAGCGTAATATTCTAGACTTGAAAAGAAGGATTTTGAGGTTTTTCTTGGAGAGGGGGTTGGTTGCTTCTTTTGCTTTGTACGATGCCGTTTCTGTGATCTCCTGTGTCCGACACCACCGTCTTTCATATCGTTGATGGAGTCAACATATGCCACGTGTGCATCTCATTTTAGACAATTTTGCATAAATACCCTTAACTTTTTTCGGACTTATGAATTTGAACGTCATCTTTTAATTTATTATTTTTCAGACCTTTACTCCAGATCAGACGCACCCACCAGACAAATTCAGCGCCTTTTTGTCCTTTTGATAGAATCCTGGGTTAGGAATTTTAACGCTCGAGAGTCTAATGGACTCCACCTGAGTAGCTAGAGCATGTAACAACAATTGAGTATTCACTGTGCTGAAGAGAACGCTTACGTACGTACGTACCCGCATGCATGCTAAGAGCCGACTGCCCATGAATACGTCTCGTTGTCCATAAAACATGAAGGGCCTCATCAGCCAGCGTGTGTTTTACTCGTGTGCCATTAAACAATAGGACAACCATGATGTGGAGGATTATCTGGCCATACGCTCTTGTCTCCGTTTGGTGGGTCCTATTGTTCCGCTCTCGCCAAATCTCATATAAAATTAGCTGCGTAACAAGCTTCCGTATTGTGGTTGTCCCTTCTGCCCCGTCACTCCCATCGGTTTGCATTAATTCACTTATGATAGGATATAAATACCGATTTTTGGATCGACGTTAATACAACACTCATATTTTATAAAAAAATAAATAAACGGTATTAGAATAATTGAAACATTATCCCAAATTCCAAAGAAGGTTGCAAGTGGCATTACCATGAAGAAACTCGAGAAAAATGCAAAAAAAAAAAAAAAGTATGGCATAGATCCCGAGTGGACGTTGCATCTTCTCCCGAGAAAGAAGATAAGGCCAAAAGAAATGCGAGACTCGATCTTCCCATGTATCCTACCACTTCACAAGTGATGGAGATCGCATGTTAATTCGTATATATAGAAGAATGTTTCGTGTCATTCAATTGGAATATAGACCAAATAGTATAGTTGGTTGGAATAGAAGGGATGTCTTTGTTCGTGATCCCATATTCGAGTGGTCTTCCGATAATTTACTGCAAAATATCACGTAAATTGTTAAAGAAAATTGTTAAAGGGTATAGTCAATATATCGAAAGGATTAGGATTCGATTCTTTATCCATTCATTTTATAATAAATATAATTGGATCAAAGTTACAATGAATCAAACCAATATGAATATAAAAAAATATTTCATATCGATATATATATATAATCCTTTTCACATATTGTAAAATTATATGGTTTAACCCTCGACTTATGACAGGTTGCGATCTCGGAAAAAAGGTCTTGCCATTCACAAACGTCAGAGTGTGTACATATACAATTGAGAAATCAACAAAACCTAGTAAAATCAGGAACGTATCTTCAAGAGATACACAAAGACCCAAACAAGAAGATACAGGTGGCAACACAATATATACGTAAGGATATATTCGGCATAACACCCCCCCTCAAGTTGGTGAATGCAAGTGTTGTGTGCCCAACTTGTCGAGAAACCATGCAAACTCTTTCTTGCCCAGCGCTTTCGTAAAAATGTCCGCCAATTGTTCTCGTGTGGAAACATGATGTATCGTAATGTTCTCGTGATCAAGATGATGTCGAATATAATGGCAATCCACTTCAATATGTTTGGTGCGTTCGTGGTAAACGTCATTGGAAGCAATGTGCAATGCCGCTTGACTGTCGCAGAACAACAACATGGGTGACGTGTGATCAACGCCGAAACAGGACAAGATGCTCTTAATCCACAGCAATTCACACGTTGTCACACGCATGGCCCGGTACTCGGATTCCGCTGAAGAGAGGGCCGGTACGGTCTGCTTCTTCGTTTTCCATGAGACAGGGGACAAATCAAGCTGAATGAACCAGCCGCTTAAGGATTTGCGTGTGAGCGGACAACCGGCATAGTCGGCATCACACCAACCCCGCAAACGTAAGTCTGAGTTAGCTCGAAACAAAATACCTTGTCCCGGGTCGTTCTTCAAGTAACGGACGACATGAACAGCAGCATTCCAATGATCTTGGCGCGGGAGTTGCATGAACTGCGCCAAAATGTGAACGCAGTACGAGAGTTCAGGCCGAGTGACTGTGAGATAAATGAGTCGACCCACCAAACGACGATAACTAGTGGGATCTTTGAGTGGAGGGCTGTCCGACAAAGAGAGGCGATGGTTTTGGTCTAATGGGAAGAGTGTGGGCTTGCAACCAAGAAGACCAACTTCGGATAAGATGTCAAGTGCGTATTTCCGTTGACAAACGTGAATACCGGTACCATTGCGAGCCACTTCCAAACCAAGGAAATACTTAAGAGGACCAAGGTCCTTCATGTGAAAACATGAGCTCAAGTATTGTTTGAAAGCGTGCAAAGCGAGCGAAGCATTTCCCGAAATGATTAAGTCGTCCACATAAACCAGAACACACAACTGAATCTTTCCATCGCGAAACGTGAATAAAGAGTGATCAGACTGGGACTGAGAGAAACCATACCTCTCCAAAGCAGAACGAAGTTTATCGAACCAACACCGCGGAGCTTGGCGAAGGCCGTAGAGAGACTTCTGAAGACGGCAAACCAAACCAGAATTTTGTGTTTCAAAACCCGGAGGGGGACGCATGTAAACCTCCTCGTGTAAGTCGCCATGTAAAAAAGCATTGTGAACGTCCATTTGATGAATGTCCCAATTGCGAGCGGCGGCCACAGCAAGAAAAACCCGGACCGTGACCATTTTCGCAACCGGGGCGAATGTTTCGCCGTAGTCGAGTTCATCGACTTGTCGATTTCCAAGCACAACCAAACGAGCCTTGTATCGTTCAATAGAACCATCAGAACGATACTTGATCCTGAAAATCCATTGACAGCCAATGGCCTTCTTATCCGGAGGAAGAGAAGACATAGACCACGTCTGATTCTTCTCCAAGGCATCGATTTCTGCCTGCATGGCAGCTCTCCACTGAGGATCACGTAAAGCAGCCTTATAGGATCGCGGTTCGACATTGTCGGTAATGCCAGCTAAAAATGCACGATGGGAAGCCGAAAAATTAGTGCAACTAACAGATTGTGCAAGAGGATAAGGACTACCTGAAGAGTGCTGATGGTCGGGTGATGGAAGGGACGAGCTCACGTGGCTAACAGTGTTGATAACATGGTTCTTAAGACGTGTGGACAGAAATTTTTGGCGTTTACCTCGACCAAAATCATTACTAACACCGATATCAAGTGGAAGAGCATCAGCGGATCCCCCCTGTCGTCGGAGAACGGAGCTAACTGATCAGAACCCAAGACGGAATCCAACTCTGGAAGAGCACTCGAAGTGGGGCTGGGTACCGAACTTGACGATGAGACAGGTATAGCCATCGGGAGTGACACGTGAGGAGAAGCCATAGCAGGATCGTCTTCGTCAAGAGGGAACGGTGATACCGGCGGAGACGTCGTAAGTGACGAAGAAGTAACCTTAGAGACCGAAAATGGAAACGTAGATTCACAGAACACGACATCGCGGGAGACAAAAAAACGATGGTTGTCAAGATCATACAGCCGCCATCCTTTCTTGCCCGAGGGGTAACCCACAAAAACACACCGAACGCTCCTAGAAGCAAACTTGTCTCCCATGTGATCCTTATTGTGAGCATAGCACAAGCAACCCATAGTGCGTAAATGTGAATAATCCGGAGGCCGACCATAGATAACTTCATAAGGAGTTCGTCCGGAAAGCGCTGAAGACGGAGTGCGATTAATGAGAAAACCCGCAGCTAAAACGCAATCCCCCCAAAACTCAATTGGAAACTCGGCTTGAAACATCAAGGCACGGGCAACATTGAGTATATGACGGTGTTTGCGTTCGACACGCCCATTTTGTTGTGGAGTGTCCACACACGATGTCTCGTGTATGATCCCGCGAGCTCGAAACTCATTTCGAAGACACAGAAACTCAGTGCCATTGTCCGAACGAACTGTCTGAACCTTCTTGGAGAATTGTCGATCCACCATGGCAACGAAATCCAGGAGATAACGATAAACTTGACGTTTATCCGGTAAAAGGAACAGCCACACACCGCGAGAAAAGTCATCAACTATTGTGAGAAAATATTTGGCCCCACAATGCGATGATGTTCGATAGGGACCCCACAAATCACAGTGAATAAGCTGAAATAAATCGCTCGTTTTATTAGAACTCAAGGGAAAAGAAGCACGAGTTTGTTTGGCCCGTAAACAAATATCGCAAACTATCGGAGAATCATCCGAATGCTCAAAATCAACACACGAAATCTGCTCTAACACTTTAGACGAAGGATGTCCCAATCTTCGATGCCACACGTCAAAAGAACACTTGGTATTTGAACGAATAGCCGCAACGACCTCAACACCTCGAAAATAGTAGAGCCCGTCCCGTAACTCACCCGCTCCAATCAGCATCTTCGTAAGTCGGTCCTGAATAATACACAATTTATTAGTAAACTGCACAATACAATCATGATCGCCAAGTAGTTGAGAAACCGAGAGGAGATTAACATGTAATCCGTCCACATAAAACACGTTGGACAACTGAAGAGTAGAAGATAACACCACAGTTCCGAAGTGAGTGGCGAAGGTGTGACGACCATCAGGGAGCAATATGCTAAAAGAGGCCATCGGTGAGGGATTTTGAAGTAAATCCAATCGTCCGGTCAAATGGTGCGAAGCGCCTGTGTCAAGGATCCAAGAATTAAGAGAAGACATACCAGAAGATGTTTCGTTGGCTCCGATCTTGCCGGCATTGAGCAGAGTAATCAAAGTCTTCCATTGATCGTTACTAAGACCACTAATCGAAGGTTTGTCGGAATCAACCATGGCAGGGGAGGAAGCCGACAGAGAAGACGGGGAAACAGACTGAGCCACATTAACGCGACATGTTCCACGCCCACGAACAGCAGAGGACTGACCTCGACCACGGCCGGAGCGACTCCGAGGACGGTCTCCCCACCATTCAGGGTAACCCAACAGTTGAAAACATGCTTCCGCAACGTGACCCGTTCTCCCACAGTTGGAGCATATCACAGACTTATCTTTCACCGGTGGAGAGGAACGAGATCTCGAGGAGCCCTGAGCTGAAAACGCCGAGATGTCTGCAGCTTCAACAGATCGAATCACCGGATCTCGTGCGGCCTCATCCTGAACAACAACAAGATAGGCTTCTTCAACAGTCGGAAGTGGAAGACGAGATAGCAGATTCGATCGCACAATGCCGAACTTTGCATCGTCGAGACCAAGAAGAAATTCGTACAACCGGTCTTCTTGTCGCTGGGTTTCCAGTTCTGCCGCAAGGTTACAGGAGCAATGACCACATTTGCACACCTTCAAAGTACGCAAAGTGGCCAAATCATCCCATAACTTTGAAAGCTTTCCAAAGTATGACTCCACGGACATTCCATGCTGCCGACAATTGGCAAGGTCACTTCGAAGACGCAAGAGGCGAGGAGCACTCGTCACGCCAAAACGACGTTTGAGATAATCCCATAGATCTTTTGCAAACTCGCGGTGAACAACGTCCGAACGCAGATTTGGTTCGAGCGTGTTTTTGAGCCACGAGACGATAAGAGAATTGTTCGTTTCCCAATCGTCATAGTCTGGAGAATCTGGATCAGGTTGTGGAATATTACCATCGACAAATCCGAACTTCTTTCGAGATTTCAAGGCATGTCGGATGTTAATAGCCCACTCGTCGTAGTTATGTCCTCGTAACAAAGGTTGCGAGAGAACAAGACCAGGGTTATCGCTAGGACTCAAATCGAACGGTGATATCGTGCGTCTAGCAACACCAGAAAACGCGGTCGTCGGGACAGAAGACATCGTCGGAATGTTCGTGTTGGTGGGGGTCGTGGCGGAGACGCCGTCGGTTTCGGGTTCGGTGTTCATGAACGAAAGAAAACAAGATTAAAAAATGTCAGGTTCTGATACCATGACAGGTTGCGATCTCGGGAAAAAGGTCTTGCCATTCACAAACGTTAGAGTGTGTACATATACAATTGAGAAATCAACAAAACCTAGTAAAATCAGGAACGTATCTTCAAGAGATACACAAAGACCCAAACAAGAAGATACAGGTGGCAACACAATATATACGTAAGGATATATTCGGCATAACAACTTACGTTCCAAAGTCTTATGATAAATCGCCCAAAATATAGTTTTATTAAGAAAAAAGGCAACAGAACGAGTACCCTCCTCACTTGGTGTCCTGACGTACAATTAGAGGTACAAAATGTTCTCCATTTCTAAATTAATCAGAAAATCTATACGTAGGGTCAAAACCTCTGACCGAGTGAGAAGTTTTGGATCCTCTCCAAATGGAGGTGGCGTGATTCAATCCACGCCCAAATGGCGATGCGACAGTGAGAAAGCGATGAGGAGACCGCTAGCAGCCACATTTCTCTGCTTTCTCCTTCCGTTCTCCGCCGCTACCGTCGTCCTTACTCCCATCTCTGCCTCTTTCTCCGATCTTCCTGCCAAATACGGTAACTCTCTTCGTCTCATTTTTCCACTCTCTCCCGCTGATACGCGATGTATCTTCGGTGAATTCGCGATCATTTATGTTAATTTCGAAGCTGACCCCCTAGTTTCTGAAATTCGGAGAGCTTGATTGTGATCCTTCTTCGTTCGGGGTTCTCTCTGTAGCCGGCTCCGTGAACAAACATGGAATCTGTGGATCTCTTTACGTGGCGGATCCTATCGACGGCTGCTCACCGCTGAGGCACGGGGCCGCTTCGAACTGGACGGAACAGAGAACGAAGTTCGCTTTGATTATTAGAGGCAAATGTTCGTTCGAGGAGAAGTTACTAAATGCTCAAATTTCCGGTTACCAAGCCGTGATTGTTTACGACAACACACAAAACGATGATCTCGTCTACAGTAAGTTCAACGCTTGTTGCTTCCCACGTCCTGTGCTTTAGGATTGCTGAATTCCCTTTTTCTCTGGATAGAATTAGTTTCAGATGGCATTGATAGTTCAAGCTTGTATCAGGGTTAGTCTCTGATAATTTATTGCCCAGCTATCATACATACCCGAGAAAACTTTGCCTGAACAAAGGGATTTGAAAAGAATAACATATATATATGTGAAAGTGTGGTTTAGTTCATGGATGAGGAAGGAGTATAGTAACTTGTCCCAGTCCGTCCAGTAAATCAGATCTATTCTGCGCAGTAAAGGTGAATCATGAGGGCCTAACTGTGCACGCGGTGTTTGTCTCAAACATGGCTGGTGAGATCCTGAGGGAGAATGCAAAAGGGCAAGACGGGGAATGCTGCATCTATCCACCAAGCGAGGGCCGAGCTTGGACAGTGCTGGCAATCTCGTTCCTCTCCCTCATTCTAATCATGACTTTCCTGTTGATAGCCTTCTTTGCACCTAGACGCTGGACCCAGTGGCGAGGGAGAAGCAGCTGGCCTAACAGCGTGGATGTGAAGCTTGTCGAGACACTTCCCTGCTTCACGTACAGAGATTTCAGTCAAAACCATGCCGGGGAAACGTGTGCAATATGCCTCGAGGATTATAGACTCGGAGAAAACCTTAGACTTCTCCCCTGCCAACACTGTAAGGATTACCATTATTTTCTAAGTTTTTACCCCGATTCTTGTCCTCCCTTGCGGTTAAAAATGACGGTTATATTCTTTTTTTCTGAAGAGGTACTGAGGTTGTTGGACATGGGTCTATTAATATATTATGGTTTGAAGGGTTTTGAAAAGAAAGAACAAAAGGCACAGGGTGTTGGTTCTTGTGAGCGAAATATCTCGGTCTTGATTCTTTCCATGTTGTAGCTAGAACACCAGGTATTCTAGACGATCAGTATTCAGTAAAAATGTCTAATACCTATCTGGAAGTTTTGGAAACTAAGTCATACTCATACCTTACGAATAGGCTGAGCTCATCATCATCTCATAACATTCTACATTCTCGAGTGGGTTCTATCAAAACATTATCGTTATCTATGATTATTTCTGTTAATTGGCGGAATTCATTGATATGTAAATATCAGTATCTGTGGATTAACTTCTGGAGTTTAATGATGTTGCCACATTGATTCCAAACTTTTTTCGACGTTAGTTAATTGACCTGCTGAAGTTTGTGTGCAGCCTTTCACTTGAGCTGTGTGGACTCTTGGTTGACTAAGTGGGGTACGTCCTGCCCAGTATGCAAGCTTGATATTAGAACCCACACTGCTTCTTCTAAGGTGAGAGTTTTAAAACTTCTGCTTCGACATTCGGGTAGTCAGTTCAACTCTAAAACCATTTTTTTTAATCCTTGACGCCGTTTGCTTTGTTGCAGGTTAATGGACGAGACTGGCTTAGGGAGTAGATAACCCGTTTTGGACAAAGTCAATAGGGTATGTTCAAAGCCTCTAATCTACACACACGGATAAGCGCTTTGGTTCAGTGAAGATCGGATTCTGGTGATTGATCTTTGCATGGATCTGTTCTGTTGTATGGATTGCCATATACGTCGGGGTCGAAGTAAAAAGAAAAACACGAGAGTGAAGGGTGATCTTGTGTATGTATGTGTGTGTATTGTATGTATATTTAGTTTCTGCCTGGAAACACACCATATGATGAAAGCAATCAACTTTTATCGTTTCAGGATCAAGAAAATGATTCAGGGTCAGAGCAAACGTACTCT